TGTCAGGCAAAGGGTTTACGGGCCTAGGGTTTTGGATGATGGTGATGATGAGCATAATAATAATAGTAATAATAATAATAGTAATAGTAATAATAGTAGTAGTACTAGTAGTAGTAGTAGTAGTTGTTGTAGTTGTAGTTGTAGTTGTAGTTGTTGTTGTTGTTGCGGTACAGGTGAATATATGTCTATGTTACTATGTTTCTCAAGATCTTACTACACGGTGGTAGCGCTCACTACATTACATATTGATTCTCTATCTTATACCCGGAAAATCCAGAACCCTTATCCGTCTACCCTAAACTCCCAGAGGCACATAATTCCTTGCTGCCTCTAGTAGTTGGATGAAAAGCTTCACCTGACTTTGTCTCTGGATTTATGTTTCTGCTGTGTAAGTACATGTTGTACAAATGTGTGTAGGCAAGATAAACTCATAAATACATGCATACATACATACCTAGCTACCTAGCTACCTAGCTACCTAGCTACCTAGCTACCTACCTACCTACCTACCTACCTACCTAGCTACCTAGCTACCTACGTACGCACCTACATACATTACACACACACACAGATATATATATATATACGTATATATATATATATATGTATATATATACACATACACATATGTATGGCTGTGTGTATGTGCATGCACGTACGCAGACTCACTGTTTATAGAGATGCTGGCATCCCACAGCTACAACACCTTACGACGTTTGGATTTAGGTCTCCGCGTACCGAACCCGAATCAGGGAAAAAGCCCACCCCAAAGAGCACAGAACCCCTGAATTGAGGAGTGTATATACCTAAAGGTTTTCAGCATTGTTGAGCCCATCTTAATAGTTTAGGTTCTCCTTAATTAAGGCGTACGAGACACTCCAGGAAAAAGACAGTCTTCTGAAACCTTGTGTACCGATGTGTGCAGTACCACCTTTTTCTCTTCGGCACATCGCACGAATGCGTACTTCTCGCTATGTGTTCGTTTCGCTTGGGTCGCAAACAGCTGGAGCGCTCCTAAGAGAAGAGGCTCTCAAGTTCGGATGACGGAGGGTGTCTGTCTGGAGCGGGTTGTGGATACTCGATCCCCAAAGCCTCAACACTTCCAAGCAGTCAAAGGATATGCTGCAAGTCTGCCGTGCCGGTGGCTGTAGGCAGTCTTGCAGGGAGAAAAATGAATGGAAAGAGGTGCCCAACTGCCGGAAGCTCAGTTTCGATCAGGCTTTGAAACCAAGTGCCTGGGATCCTCGTTAGCGGGCGATTGGACTATTGGTACAACGTAGCGAAAGTGCATCGACGCCATGTTCCTGGCCTGGCTTGCGAATAATGAAACGGCCACGAAGCCTGCACTTACATGCGATGCGTTACGGCCATTCGAAGACATCCGACTTGATAAACTCTTCAGGACTCGCTTGACGCAGTCCCCGCAAGGTCTTTTCCAGATAAATGGCTTCATTAAGATTATAACATGAACGATGACACAGGCACAAAGAGTCTATATAATACTCGGTGCGTTTCTTGTGGCGGAGAAAGGAAATCCACGTTTTAGAGACTAGATTTGTGAAGAACATCAGAGTTCTGCACTGTTTGCATATGCCACGCCCGAATTCTGCGGGTGAAGGCTCTAGACGTCTCTAGACTGTAGACTCAAGCCCTGGACTCTGAATCACAAAGCCAAGACACAAACTCTGATCTCCCGGCAGCAGCGGCAGAAAGGTGGAGCTTGCGACGAACGAGACAGCTTCCGTATGAGTTGTCAGCCTTATGCTTGTCTGGCTTGCTCCACCTCTTCTGGAGACGGTAGGAGTGGGCTGCAGGGAGTTGATCTCTGGCACCCTGCATTTCAGGGTTCGGAGTTTGGTGTAGGGTGTAACAGTATTTGATGCGTTTCGCCAGGACAAAGGGCGGCATTCAATGCTGAAAGCCGGGCGTTCAAACATGCAACGGTCTCAAGTGTCCTAACCGTCCTAACCCTAAACCCTCCTCAGTTCCGAGATTCTTACAGCTCAGGTACTCTCAGGTTCAGCAGGTTGCCTCCCTGCCAGCTATATCCAAGCTCTGCTCTGCATATGCTCCTGCAAGGCATGAAGTGTCACAGCCCCGGCTGAGAAGCTGCCCCGGGACAAAGGCCTGCGGAGCTTAGTTGGTATGTATCCTAGGGTTGTAGATCCCAGAGAGCCCAATATACCCCTTAACTGAGGAATATATACCTTAAATTATAAGGGGCTGAATTCTTATGTTTTAAGGCCATATTATATTCCCTAATTATAAGGGGCATTGGGTTCTCTGCGGAGCTAGTGGCTCGGGGCTGCGGTACACAGAGCATAGCAAAGCGTGCTTCTGTTGCATCTGGCGAGTCACACGGGATGGAGGACTCTCTCGGGAAGCGGCGTCTTTCCAGCAGTGAAAACAAGTGAATCATAGCAATAGGACTGACATCTTTGCCGAACAACGTCCTCCAGCCCTGCCAATCATGCTCAGAGTCTGGCTGTCCGGCAGAAGGGTTGACAGCTTTGCTCATCAGGAGCCGGGATGACAGTCATGTAGCTATTTATTTTTGTCTTGATGTTTGCGGCTGATGTCTTTGTAGGATAGTTGTAAAGTGGCGTGGGAAAACAACATCTCACCTCTGCCAGCAGTTGACTCTGTTCCTCTATGTCTGAGCCGCGTCACCTCCTCTCATGCAGCGAAGGTGCGGCGCAAGAGAATCCCGGCAGAGCCCACCATGTAGCCCACCTACACAAAAGAAAGAAGGGTCACCGGGGACTCAGGTTTCTCACCAGGGTCGGTTTTGTCCTCAAGTTTCCGCCGTCCGTTTGTGCGTGGGTGTCGAAAAAGGAGCCATAACCTGTTTCAGTAAATGCCTCAGGGAATATGTAAAACAGAAGGTACACGACCTAGCGGCGACCAGTGCAAGTAGGAGCAAACGAATGAAATCAGCAGTCCGATGTTCCTCAAACCCTACAATACGTGAAGCCCTGGATCCCGAAACATCCAGTTTGACGTTAGACGCTCCGGTGACTTAGTGGCCCATGCCGGGCCTTTCCCTTCTCGAAGAACTTCACCTCGGCCACATGCTCAAACTACTGTTGGTGATATAAATCTTGCATGACCTTAAGGACCCTAAACTATGGGAATTACGGTATATTCCTTATTCTGGGTAATGCAGGATTTATATCATCAACCGTATCTGTGTTCTTGAGGGAACAGCGATCGCGTTTTGAAAGGCTTGAACGAGTTCGACTGTCACAGCTTCCAGAGGCCAGGTTGCGGACACGTTGTGTTTGACTCTGCTCAGGACTCGGCAATGAAACGTCGGAGCTTGATAACTAGGAATCAGTATAGAATAGCGTGTTGGGGTATATATTCTACTAAGATTCTACAATATAGGTATAATCGAGACTATAACTATACGGGAGTACTAATTGTTTGCGCTTCTATATCATGACAGCACCGACAAGAATACCAAACAGCCATTGTGTCGCACTTTATTACACCAGCAAGCTCCTCTCTCTCCGCGTCCCTGCTTTCAACCTCGTTGCTCACACAGCTCCACCTCCAAAATTTAAACCCTGGTTATTCCCAATCTTAAACCACAAATAAGCCTGAAACCCGTTTTTCAAAACAGTGAAACGGCCCATGAAGTTGCATAGTCGACATATTTGATGCCAGGGGCGTTGTACAAATTGCACGGAAGGTCCGTGGCGGAGGGATCGAATGCCCAAGTCTTTCCTCGACATCTTGCAAAAGCCGGGTTCTATGCGGGATCAACAATTAATTTGGGAGCTAGGATTAAGGGGACCCTTGGGGATATAGACCCTCTCAATAAGGTCCCTTTCAAGAGAGCCACAAGTAGGGTTTAGAAGGGTCCCCTTTAAGGGGTCTCCCTAATACTACCTAGGATAATTACAAGGGACCTACCGGGGGTGGACAGAGGCGCATGTCTCTGTACTGCCTTCACAGGCTGTACGCTTCCCGATGAAATGGGCGAAGGCACTTGCCTTCTGCATCCTCTGATTTCGAAGCCCTTATAGGCAGGGATCGACCCCACCCCCAAAGCACCAGTCCGCACAGCAAGCCTGTAGACTTCAATTCTGTACCGGCTTTGCGTCCAGGACTGAAAAGCTTTAACGGTTCGAACTACAAGCCCGCAGCCCTAAACCCTCCCCGGCGACTCTGCTGCAAGTCTCATCCTGCATGATTGGCACATATATATATATAGAGAGAGAGATAGATAGATCGCCTGACGACTCGACTGCAACTTTGATTCTGCATTCATGTGAGTGAATTCCATTCATGGTGAGCATGGCCGGACCTGTGCGACCGCTTGCACGTGCGATCGACACGGTGATGACAGGACACTTCTTTTTGCAAGCATGCCTTCGGGGACACGTTCTCTACGGTGCAGATGGGTCTACATGAGCCGAATTTGGCTGCATTCTTTCGAAGCTGGAGCGGCGTTTTGCTGTGCTTTGTACTGCATGGAGTTTTGGCTAGATCTGTGGCAAGAATTCATCACATCGACCGTAAGGGCATTCTCCATGGCTTGGTGCTGTCGGGTGCTGCATGCCCCCATTGGGGATTTACGATTTCCTTTGTGAGTAAGCATGGTGGCACCACGATGACAATGTGAGCGAAGGCCTATGATTTCAAGCACCCCGAAGCTGCAAGTGAGTACAGAAACAATAAGCAGCTGATGACAGATGGATTGGATGTTCAGAGTATTCAGATGGACTCTTTTGAAACAGCTGCGAAGCTACTGATGCCTGCTAGGGTAGTTTGTTGGACTCTTGACAGGTGAGTCTCCGTACAACGGATTCCTGTCTTTATCTTTTCATTTTAATTGTTTTAGTGCTTCGTTGTCACTGTTTTCTTGTCTTTCTTCCGTGATCCGTGCTGGCTCTTCGCCTCGTCAAGTCCCAGTAGCAAGCTCAGGCAGTTATCGGAACCGCCATGCTTTGCGAGTGTGTGAGTCGAAACCCTAAACCCCTAAGCCGAGCTGCCGCCATCTTTGGAGGTGTAGATCCTGGGCCAAAAGGAGGCGAACATGGGGGGTGGTGCCTCAAAAGTCAGGGTTCCGTACGGTTTAAGTTTAGGGTTTAGGAGTTCCGTATTGGGGGGGTCCTTTTCAAGGACCTTAGTTTTCAGGGTCTCTACTATGGGTTGATTGTAATTTTCAATACCCTGCTTCAGCCAGTTCAGAAGGGGCTAGCTGGCGAACTGCGAAGCTTTCTTCTTGAGGCTCATTTATGCCCGCCGTGTGGACAGGTGTCGTAGTGACACGGGGCCTTAATGCTCAGGGATTCCGGGTGCATTGTAGTAGCATTGAAGTATTTCGGGACGAGGAAGGGATTTTAGCAACACTTCTTCCGGACTTCTACAAAAAAGATTGCTTTTTGGGGCTCAGAGGGCTCGGGGCTGTGGAGGTCAAAACAGGTTCAGAGGGTTTTGAGGACAGTTCGGGATGACGCTTGTCGGATTTGGCCTGAGGGAGGTTGGACTGGAAGTCTTGAGCTCTTTGGCCGACCCCGAGCGTGAAACCCAGAATCAGCCCTGTCCAACAGCCGTCGAGTTGCACGCCGCTGCCTCCTGTTGCCCAGCACTCGTTCGGCGTCCGGTATCCAACATCGATGATGCCAATACCGCCTTTTGAGGTGGGCTCGGTAGGTCTGAGCGCCCTGCAGGTTTGCAAGCCTCGAAGCCCACCTCTTCATACCCAAGCCCATGAACATCCGTGCACAGCTAAAACTTGCTGAGCAGGCCACCTGGAAGCCCTCTCGAAATAATATGGAATACAGTGTATAGACTCCGTTGACGTTTCAGTTCTCTTAACTCGGACACCTTACGCCTCCCTCTGCAACCATACAGTACCACACCCAAATCCGAAATCCTGAATTCCTGCTTCACGGGCGAAATCTTTCATTCAATGCAAGTTCAGGATCCACGTCTGATTGAAGCTGCCGTTGAAACACAGAGCCTCCCTAGACCGAAGTCTCTTGGCGCTTCTAGGACCAGGAGCCCTGCCTGAGCGGATCTTTGCGAGCTGGAACAACTCCTGCCAAGGGTAGGAGTATGCTAGGAGTATGAACCCCCAAACCTGAAATCTCATAGTACGCGTCAGTATACAGTTAGTATGTCGTTGAGAACTACATCGGCTTGACATCCGTTGAGTTTAGTTGGGCTGTGAGGTGGAGGGGGTCTGGCGGAACGCTCTCAGGCATCCAGGATTGCTTCTCAAGGTTTTTCTGGTTGGTTCTGGGTCTGGATGTTTTTTAAAGGCCACGGCCTCTGCAAGCCGTAATTAGAGGATTATATGAATATGGCTATTGTAGTATATGACAGTAAATCACAGCATACTCGACAAGTATATTCTATGACACAGCAAGAAAAGTAGTATCGGTTGACAGTCGGATTCGGGATCTCGGTGTCAGGCTGAAAAGACGAACCCCTCTGCTCCGCTGGTCATTGACCGGCCTTCGTGTCGGAGGCTAGATCCGTGAACGTGTTCTTGTCGCACACCGTGACCACACCACCTGCTATAGTTATCTGCGAATTGAATCTGTGAAAGGATCTTTGGTCATCTGCGCTTTCGAGTTCCTGTTCCCTAGATGCTCCCATCTAGAAACGCGAGCAAGGATGTGACAAGAATCCGGGTCTCAACTGCCACCGCCGACTCACGATCGGACCGGAAAGTGAGGCTCATTGCACAAGAGTCTTTGGATTAAGGGTGTGAACGCTCAGGGTGTCCAGCTTAGATCTTAGGTTTGTTCTCGGCAGAGGCTGTTCCTCAGCTCCAAGCTACTTTAGGCTCCAATTTCCACAGTCTGCCAGGTTGTACCACCTTCCTGGCCAAGCAGGGCCTCCAGTTCTTCTTTAACTCACACTTGTCGAGCGAAAGCGCCCCTGAAGTCTAAGCTGCTGATAACCGTGCAACCGACTGCAAAAAAAACATGCTGCCGGGCCGCCGTTCAGGCTCATCCAAGCGCCGTCCAACTGCTCGCCGTTGGCGGTCTCTCTGAAGCCCATGCCCTGGCAAGCACGGAGCAACATCTTAATGATTCCACGACACACCCGGGTCGGCTAAAAGACCGGCCAACCAGCCTCAGCCTTGGTCGGAGATTTTGTCATCGGACAGGTCTCAAGCCTTAAACCCTAACTCGGGGTGTTGTGCTCGGGCGGATAGCTCGACTTGGCCCAGTGCATGGCTGCGTTCGCCCCGTGGAGATGCAGTGTTGGGTCCCGGAGTGATAGAAACAATATCGATGATACTACTAGTAACTACTAATGATAACCATCATCATCCTAGTCATAATCAGAATAATAGTAGTAGCAGTATTCAAAACTATAGCTAGTCTTAATTGTACAAGGCAGAGAAAAGTCAGACTATACAGTTTCCGTGCGACCATCCCTTACGATCCCGCCTGGATACGTCTGGCGGAGATACGATTGTGCGGCACCCAGCCTGATCAAGGCCCCGGCTACTCCTCTCTTTACCTGTTGTGCATGCATATTATACTATATACTTAATGTTCTCTGAGGGCGCAACACATAAACCCAGGAGATCCCAGATCATAGCATGCCGACTTTGCATCTGAGGGAACTTCTGCCGAAGGTTCCAGGGGCTGCTCATGAGGATCGTCGGAGCGGCTGTGTACTTATTCTTTACAACACCGGCAAGGTATCGGGCTTATCGGATACGAGGCTTCCAAAACTTTAGTTTAATGTTTGCTTCGGATGAGGGCAGGACGCTAGAAGGGTCAAAATCTACCTAATAGCCATGCGTGCAACGAAGAACAAGGTTGGGTTGTGCTCCTCGATGTGCAGAAATTTGGCGGCCAAAGCCGATGTGAAGCCGAATATCACGGGGCGTCACATGCTGTTGGGAAAAGGCCCGACGGCATTTCACAGCACTCCTACAAGTAGCAAGGTAAATGGAAGTGAGTTGCGAGTTTCAACGTTTAGGCATGGACATCATCTGTGAGAGCACATCGGGCAGACCGCAAACAGCTCCAAGCTAAGTCCACGAGTAATGCGGCGAAGAAAGTGGAACGCACGTGCAGGATCCTTTCATGGTCGTTTCAACAAAGCCCAAGTTCTGAGATAGTTCCTCTGTTCAATTGGCTGAATCGGAGCCGACAGGAGGAATGCGCAGCCAAGCCACGGGTGTCTCCAGGAACGAAGCTCAAGTAGAAGTTTCCGCGCCTGAGCTGATCATGTCGCTTCATACTTCCTGTGCACCACACCCAGAGCCAGTCCGAAATTTGCAAAAGAGATCGGTAATTATTTCTCTGTGGCTAATTTCTACTTTCCTTGCGCCCCAGCTCTCCCAGGCCGAAGCGCTGTGCAATGGCCAAGTACTCGCCCTTGGAGTTCCGTTTGATGGACTTGACCTTGCGGAGCTCAAGTTCAGCAGTGGGGTAGATACTTGGATGTGAGCCTTCTCGCTTGCACATTATAGAGTTTGTTCCTTAGCTAGCAAGACGTCGCCCTGCCTCTTGAGTCCGGATTCTCATCACCAGGATGTGAACAGCTCGGTTCGATCTTTGGTACCAGAACTGTTAAATTAGTACGGTTGCAAGGTCATTACCTTAGGGATTGTGGCAAAGGGCGTTTTACTCTTCGCATCACCCTACGTTCAGTGAGGAAATTCGAACAAAACATTGCGCACAAAGAAACACTCATGCTGAGAAGGGGGCACTGCCGGTGAAGTAGCTTCCGCCAGAAACACCGCTCTGGGAGACGCGATTCAGCGTTGCGTCGATGGTCTCCTGGCGCTCCCAACAACTTCATTGTGTTGCACAGGTCTTGAGGGCGGAGACCGGATTGAAACAACACGGAGACACGGAGTTTAAAAGCCCCAGTTCTCTGAGTTTTCCAAAGCCACAGCCACCCTTTCGGAGCTTCACGGAATAGCCGTGCAGGGTTTGAAGCTTATACAGCTTTCAGCTAACTTCCGAGGAGTTGACGATGTTGAAGCTGCTGGCAGGGAGCATGCACCCAACATCATGAGATCTCGTGTGACCCTATAGCCCCGGAGCATGATGCTGGCCACATTCAATCAGCCGTGCTGAAGAATACCATCCGTGTGTGTGTGTATATATATATATATGCACACATAGATTACCCTAGAAACATGTGCGGGAATGATAACCTATGTACATATAGTCATATGTATGTATATATATATATACATGTACATATGTACATATACATATATATATATATATGCATTCTCATATATGCGTGCATGTATGCATGCATGCATACAGACATACACACACACACAATATATATATATATACACATACAGTTACATGCATGGCATGGCGTGCATGCATGCCTAGGACATCGCCTGGCCCTAGGCTGGAAAGCTGGAAAGCCGGAACCCAATATCTAAAGTTGGCCTAGGCACAGACACTTGCGACTTCCAATTCTTGCCATCGTTCTCGGTCACCTCACGAAGGCTGCGAACATCAAAGCCGCTCCGACACTACGGCATGTTGCAGGGGCTCGATTTTGTTTTGAGCTGTTGGGGCGTCTCTTGATTGTCCTCTTGTTCCCACTTTCTGACTCGGTCTCCCGCAGCTACCAAAACAATTACCCTACATCCCAGAACGAGGCTCCTAAACCCGAAACCTTAAATCCTAACAGGAGGCCCGACAAAACTGGGATTTCGCTGAGAGGCATAGATAGCTCCACTGGAGGTTGCCATCTCCGCCTTGCCCGGCCCCAGGGCAACGATGACCTGCGAGACTCTCCCTTGAACCCTCAAAGGGGTCCAAGCTCTCGCGGACAAGAGCAGGAGTCTCAAGTTTCGCGGTCGATGGACACTAGATAAACCTCCTAGCGCGGTTTTATGGGTAATGAAAAAAGCGCCTCTCGCTCTGACAATCGCAAGTTGAAAATGTCAAGGCATGTCGCCATCCTATCGGAACCCTCTCTCAATGTTTCCTTCCTCTTCTGAAACCTGGTCCGCCGGAGCATTGCATCAACCAAGTTCTGTAGTGACTAAGTCACGTGGCGCGAGGCCCACATTTCTCAAGGATCAGGCGACGAATGTAGAGCCAACAAAGACCCGGCTCAATGTGCCCACCTTGGCAACTCTAACCTGACACCTACTAGGGTTATGAAAACACGACCTGCCTGAAAGAGTATTAGAGGCCCGAGGTTGCACAAGCAAGGTCATGGTCATCAGAATCATGTCGGCCGTTCACCAAGTTCGGTTGCCTTCTTGGCCCGCAACCAGCAAAACACGTCCCTTACCCGGAAATCGGGATCCGTCAGGAATTGTGCAATTGCGCAATCTCCTTAAAACCCAATGAAACCCTTTGTTTTGCAGCTGGGGCTCCTGATGCGAGGCAAGTTGCCACAGACTGCTTAGCAACCGTGAACCCTTCTTCCCTAAACTTTCCTAAACACTAAACCCTTCAACCCTCCACCCTAAAACTCTAAACCTCAAAGCCCAAAACCCCAAACCCTCCAAAAACCTAAACCCATAGACCGACGGTCAGACATTGTGCTCCAAGGCTGTTACGCCTTCGGCTCGCCAGGGAGCTTCTTTGAGATGGGCACCTTCTTCCAGCTCTTGCCGCCTGGACTACTTAGGGTTTTGGGTGCAGCTCTGCTTTCTTGAGGGTTTCGGCATATTTTTTGGTTTAGGGTTTTGGGTTTTGGGTTACTTGCCAATGCAGAAACGTGTTCGTGATTGGGGGCTTCTGGGACGTATTGGGGTTTGTATATGGGAATGACAGATTCGGAAAAGTGCTGACAAGGCTGAGACTCTAGCAGGGAGACAAGCTGGCAGCTTGAATCCCGGTTTAGGGTTTAGGCGCTTCATGGAAGGCAAGGAGGATGCTTTGATAGCTCCCAAGCAAATGATACTCTGCCCCGAAACATTGAACCCATAAACCCTTAAACCCTGATGCCCTGACCCCCTTATAAACACTGAACCTTAGCAGGGGTTGATGTCTTCTTGTGCTTTCCGACTACTTGTAGGGTGGGGTGACTTAGTAAGCAACTATCTTATAAGACTTAGAAGTATCATGACACCAGTTAGGGTCCCTTTTGGGTACTAAGTCCCCTGACCCTCGAAGCTGTGGCCGTTGGCAATGGTAACAACCATGGTCACATCCGGTTTGGTGTGTGCGCAGGCATCATCGAGAACATCACCAGCACGTCCCGTCCCCAACTTCATCATCACCACCATCATCATCA